AATATAATATATATATATATATATATATATAGTCAGTTTTTTTTAGTATTAGTTTTCCTTGTTCAGTTATGTTTTTGAATAAAAATGAGAACTTAAAAAATTACTGGCTTTATAAACTTTAGGTATTTTCTGTAAAGCTTTCACTTGACAAGGAGCTTTGTTGAATACCTAGAACTACTTTTTAAGAGTCTTGTTTTGTTAAGCTGTATTATAAATGCATATTTATATTCATTTTTTGCATACATGATATATTAATTACACTATACAATCTATTACTTAGCAGTAACATGTCACTTTGCTATTTTGTATATAGTTTCTTGTTGAATTAAAATGTATAAACAAATTATTGTCAGAAACAAAGTAGATGCTTAGTGAATGGCAGTAAAAAAAAATTTAATCAGAATTCGAAACAGATAAGTATTATGTTAGGCTACAGTTTTAGCATTCAGTTAGTGTCAAATTCTATGCTTAGGGATAAGTATAAAATGATTTTATCCTTGAGTAAACTTTAGGTTATGTAGCTAAACAAAATTAAAGTACAGAGTAGACATAATTGTAATCATGCTAATTTGAACATCTTACTGAAGTAGAATGTTATTTAGATGTTTTGTTGAATTTTGGACTGTGAATGCTAGAAGTGAGTTTGGCCACAAAACTTCAGTTAATACATAAAAGAATTAGATCCAGAAAGAGAAATATTTTGTATCAAGATATATTTTTAAAACCAAATTAACGAGTCTTTAAACCTATGTTGAAACCTTACTGCTTTTTTTTTTCCTTTCAAAAGCTTGCCACCTCACCAACAAGTCGATTTTCACTTGAAGAAACCAAACAACCTGTAATGGAAAGTCTGCACATAAACACTTTCAGTGAACCTATACCGTAAGGGCTTTTTTAGTTCTTTGAAACATTTTTAGGTAACAAATAAAAGTAGTTTCACAGAGCAGTTTTTGAAGAAATGTGCAAACCTAACAGCACAAGTATAATTGTGTGTAACTATTACTTACCGTGCCTATTTAACACAGTTATCTACCTGCGTGTGAAGTTAGTTACTTCAAAAACTTATTAAATTGTATATCAAAATTATAGAACTCATAAGGCTATTTATTTTAGTTATACACCTATTTCAATAAATTTATAATGATATAGTGGTGTAAGGGAAAACTAAGTTATGTACATTATATAACACATCTTATAGCCAAGTAAGACTAGCTTGGCACAGTTTAGCTGGTGGTTCAAGAAGGTTAAGTTGCATTTGCATCAGACCAGTTTCAAGCAACAGTCACACAAAAGACCTCATTTAAGTTTGATAGCATTTTGAAGACAGAAAAATGGTTCATATTATTTTCAGTTTAACATTTTTAATTATGCCAAAAATAATACTCTGCATTTGTGTTAAATTAATTTTTATTTTTAATCATTCTGCAAATCTTTCATAGCTTCTTATTTCTTACACTTGTGGGCAGGTACCGAGCTCTATATAGTTACAAGCCACAACATGAAGATGAACTTGAGCTTAATGAGGGAGATACAATCTATGTCATGGAAAAGTGTGATGATGGATGGTATGTTGGTACTTCATTAAGAACGGGACTATTTGGAACTTTCCCTGGAAATTATGTTGAAAGAATCTGGTAAGTGTGGTTGAAACTCAAAAATAATTACTTTTTTTCTATGTTTAAGAAAATTAACAACACAGGAGTTCAGAGTGGAATAATTCTGAATTTTATTTATGGAGATATTAATTAAAATATAAGAAAATTAAAGAAATATTCTTATAAATGGTTTTTCTATCTTAATATTATCTAATGAAGTTGTATGAAAATATAGAACTTATGCAACAACTGAAAATCAAGAATCTTCTCAGATGTTCCTTTTCACTAAAAGTATGAGAATATCCATCCTTTGAAAAATTAGTATCGTGTATCAGCCATTGTACCATTTTATCTCTAAATACTTATTAACTGAAAACATTTATTCATTAATATGTTTTACAATTTTGGTTAATGTTAAGAGTTTTCTAGATAAGAAACCCAGTTTTTCTCTTTACCATTACAAATAATAATAATACCATTTTATCATTTGTTAAACTTAAAAAACTTGTATCCTGGCCCAAGGGCTCTGTAGTAAATTCACTGGGTGGGGGACCTCGGTCAAGATGTAGAATACTCTGGGAGCTTTGTGCTCAGAAAGTTCAGGAAACCCTTACCTAATTTACCTTACAATATACAGAAGAGGCAAAAATATTTTACCAGCCTTTAAAAAAACAAGCAAAATATTACTGTAACCATTCCCTCAGAACTACAGTAAAACAAGAAGACATACACCACATTAACAGTAAATTACTAAAGTATTTTAATACCAGAGCTATCGTAAAATACAAATGAGACTTATGATCAGAGTTACAGTTAAAAACAAATGTAGACTTTCATCCATGTTTTTGTAAAACTTTTATGTACCAAGTTTACAGGAAGCACTGATGTAACTTACCAGTAGAGTTAGAGAAAAACACTAATATGTCCTACCTACAGAGTAATGAGAAACACTGATAAACAATCATTTGTAACTACAGTAAAAATCAATATAGATTAATAAAGATCTTCAATGTTTATTAAACCACACATTTGATGTACTATCAGGGTAAAAGAATAATAATTGTATTGCATACCTTCAGATCTACTGTCAACATTTGATGAGATCAAGTTTAAAAGGCACATTAAAACATCAAAGTAATCGTTTTTCAAGATTGCCATTATGACTATAAAGCTACATCATTAGTATGCTTTATCATATTCTTTGAACACCCACTTAAGCTATAACACTGAATTGCCAGCAATGATTAAATAATAGTATTTTCTATTGTACAATGCATGTCTTTGAAAACTTACACAAACTATAACATCAAACATTCAACAATGCTCAAACACTATTTAATCCATGTAAGACTTTTAACATTTACCAAAGCTAAAACAGTGATACATTTCATTGTAAGTCTTTGAGCACTTACATTATTCACAACTAAGTTGGAACACTAATTTAATTCTTATTTAAATTTTAAATAGCAATTTACTTCATAACTTTTTGGATATTGTTTGTTTAATTTCTAAATTGAGAACATTGGTGTGAATCCTTTATAAAGATAGATCAGTTGTGGTCTATTATATGTTTTTGAATTATTTTATAATCGACCCCTAAAACCAGGATTTAGGTTTTACTCTTTACGAAATGTAGAATAATAAAATAATCCATTATGATAGTTTAAAAAACACTTTTACTGCTTATAATGAATCGTAATTAGAAGTGGAAAATGTATTTTTCTGATATTTCATATTATCTAGTCTAAATAAATATTTGTAATAGTTTAAAAATTAAAAACTTAGTTCTTTGTGATATACACCGATTAATACATGTTCATTACAGAAATTTTTTTCAAGTGTATTTAACTTTTTATCATTAATCTTGATTTAGATAAGACTTTAGTTGCCATGAGGAAGAAGATGAAGGCTTATTAATATTATGCCATGCAAAGGGAGTGAAAAACATTTAATCTGATCTTTCATACAGTAAAAAAAAAAAAAGAAGGTAATGTTGTAGAAAACAGTTATCTCTTCAAACAATTTCACTGACTCTTTTGCATGATATTTCAACATAATAATTAGAAAAACGTTGTATGTTTCTAGTTTGTATTAATAATTTTACATAGTTTAATATTATTAGTTTTATTGACTTATAAGAGAGTTGAGACCAAAGACATACTATTATGTGGTCACTCCCACTTGTTACTAATAGTCTATATATATATATATATCAAAACTTATGTATAAGCCACAGATTTCTGTGTTTTTAATTTATTAATTTGGCAGAACACTAATATCATATCTAATTTTAATTGAGACAAGGAAAAAGTTTGTTATCCAAATGATCTTTTAATGTATTTTGTGAAATGTTTCTGACTTTGGATTTTAACTCATAGTCAAAGCTTTGAAATAAAAAGTACTCTTAGATTAAACCTGTAACTATGTTATGTGAATGATGGTGTCTCTAAACAAACATTTTTGATGTTTTTAATACATTCATTAAAGTTTATTTGATCATTCAGTGTTTTGGGACAAAGGGAATGCATATCCTGTATCATTATATTGGTCTTTTAAAACAGTCCAGACTATTATTTTGTGTACTATCTATATATTGAATATAGAGAGAGATCTGTCTTCTGTAACACTTCTTTAAATTTTCTTTTTATAAAGAAGTCATTACTCAGTATAGTTATGGCTAAGATAGTTTTTTTTTTCATGTACAAGTGTAAAGATATTCCATTTCCATATGTTTTAATGTAACGTGGCCTAATCATGTTATTTTAATTCTTATGCAACTAAATATAATTGTTTTTGAAAATGGAAAATAGGATGTCTTGTTGGTTTTTAGTATATAGTAAAATTCTGTACAATGATAAAAGGACCTTGCTTTCTGAGTAAAGTGGAAATAATGCTAACAGAATTGAGCTTTAGCTAAGTTACTATCAAGACTTGCCGTGCCTTTAAACTTGTTTTTTGTTATGATTAAATAACAAAGAGCATCAGCTATAATATTTCTAAATATTTGTTTGTATGCACCCAAGAAAATATTGTATAAAATTTAGTGCTAGAATGGGATTTTGAGCATTATGCATGACAGTTTATGTTAATATTTGTCTTTTTAGTGTGTTGCAAAGTTTTTTACATAGTTAATATTAGAAATTTAACCTATGTGTCTTCTAAACAAACTTGTCGTCTGTATCAGAAGTACCAAGTGACTTAAAAAATGTGCAGCAAATTAATAATGCCACTACAAAAGTATTTGTGGACCTCAAGTTATTATGATTGAAAACTAAGTTTTTGATATCACAAGCACTTAAATGAAAATAGTTCTCTATTATTTTATTAATTCCTGATCATACTAGTCAGATAGCATTCTATTTCTGTTTAATTCACCATTAAAATTAGCTATATAATTAATCGAACCTCATCTACATTAAACGACAATTTGAATTAGTACAAATACAGCGTATCTTACTACTTGACTATGCCTTTATGATAAGTAACTGGTTAGCTAGTAAAACACATTGTATTGTAGTCAGAAAAATGTTTCAATACCAAGATTAAGAATTAAAAATAAGGAAGAAACTGATAGCTGATCCACAAACAAAGCATGAACTGCCAGTGATGTACTTTTCTAGAGATTTTAATATGTATTTGTTGATTTCTTCATACAAGAGTTTATTTCTTGTTATAAAATACTGTGAGTACTTTGAATGATTAATTATCGTTAAAGCTAAATGGAAATAGGCAACCCATGTTAAGTGAGGCATGCTACTTGACTCAAATTGTATGCATAGGAGTGAAGCTTCTTTTTAAACTTGATTATATTAAGTGTGCTTTAGTAATAAATCATTTGTGTAAACTGTACACTAGAATTAAGTGAATACTTAAATCACTCTTTTGATTATTAAGTTTTTCAGTTGATCCACTTTTGTAAAAGTCAAATGTTTTGTCAGAGTATGAATTTGAATCATGTGAATTAGTTAAAAAGCCTGAAAAGTTGATTTATTGTTTGAGGTTTGTCAATAAAGAATGCAATAACACACTGGTAAAGAGGTTTTTCTTCATTATTTAGTAAGTATTACAAAGCTCTTAACAGTTCATGTAGCATTGACAAATACGTGGATTTTTAAAGTCCAAAATAACCCTTTTGAAATCAAAGTTTTTAATTGTATTTATATCTGATTTTATGTGTTAATTTTTTTTTCAAGTTTGTATTTTTAAACAGTTAAGTTAAAAACAGTGAGTTTAAATACGCTTTTTTGAGTGTTTCTTTTTTGTACAACATAGTAGTGTAAATTTTTCACAAAATTATTTGTTTAGTTTACATAATTTATCACAAGATTGGGAATACATTATTACTGGTAAATTATTATACATAATTGTTGTATTTCAAGACCCAAAAAACCAGGTGGCTACAGCAATTAAAGTCAAAATAATAAAATATAGTATACCTGTATGTGGTGATACACAAGGCAGTTGTAATTGCTTATGTAAACCTATGATCAACTACTTAATCTAAAAAAAGATAAATCTTGTTAATTTTACTAATACATACAGTTTTATTTATGTACGACATCATTTTTGTAGATTCAGGTGAAACTGATTTTGCTTCAGTCAATAGGATAGGTCTGCTGAATAACAGAACTTACAGGAGATTCCACTTAAGATACCTATTACAGAGTAGTTCTGAATTTCTATGAATAACTGAGTTCATGAGAATGAAATAAAGAGACTGGAAACAGTGATGTAAAATACGAATGAGCAGTCTTTATTATAACTCAGATACAATGTGCACACTTTTACTGTTTCAGCTACCTTACTATCTTTTTTGAGATCATATACAGATTGTTTAGATCTAATGTTTCTTACTTAACTGGTGATGTCAGATTTACTCGGAGTGACTAGTGATACCATGTGACTGGTCATTCTCATTGAAAGATAATAGAGTTTGTAACCTCAAGATATCACTTGACCTACCTTTGGAATTCAGAAAAATACTATATTAAAATAAGGACATATAAAATGTTTGATATTCTTAAATACCACAGTATCAAGCAGCTCACAATTTATCACTCACTTTGCCTTAATGCACTAAAACTGTTAATATAATAACCACTACTTAAAGTACTTTGCAATTTAGACTAATGTTGTATTAATTAAAGACCATTTTAGCCCTAATACACAATTATCTATTGTTACGACATCGAGGTCACGTGACTAGTATCACGCCACGTCATTCTCGAACATTCACGTCTTTTCCTTAAATCTCATGATTCTTCTAGATATAGTGTAGTCTTGTATAAGACCGGCCACGAAGTGACGGGGAGAATGAGTAATTGAATGTATGCGGACAAAATATTGTTGGC